TACTATGTTTCCAGTAAACAACAAAACATAGACTCACAAGCATTGTGGTGTATGTATAATTTAGGGTTAAGTCCATATCGTGTGTACATAGCTGCACAATGATGCCATGCCTGTGATCTTGTATCAGCACTGTATACCCTGAAATGATTAACTACAAATGGTTTTCTCTCTGTTGAGCGATAAAGAATATCAAAACAAGAGCACTAAACATCTGTTTAATTGAAACTTTAGATATCGTGAATGTAATTAGCCACAAAACCAAGAACTTTAAACACAGCTATAGTCCATATTAAGCAAAGAAAGAGAGAGGAAAAAAATGTAGATTTTTCAAATAATTGCACTGGTTAATAAATACGTAGTGAGAGGCCTACTTTTCAAATAATTTCACTGTTAATAAATACGTAGTGATAGGCCTACTTTTCAAATAATTTCACTGTTAATAAATACGTAGTGAGAGGCCTACTTTTCAAATAATTTCACTGTTAATAAATACATAGTGAGAGGCCTACTTTTCAAATAATTTCACTGTTAATAAATACGTAGTGAGAGGCCTACTTTTCAATTAATTTCACTGTTAATAAATACGTAGTGAGAGGCCTACTTTTCAAATAATTTCACTGTTAATAAATACATAGTGAGAGGCCTACTTTTCAAGTAATTTCACTGTTAATAAATACGTAGTGAGAGGTCGACTTTCCGTCCGATATATATATTTGTGTGTATATGCTTAATTTTCCAAGAGAAGCGAGATTTTCGTCGAACATTGAATTGTTTTCATTATATTTTTTATGCCTAATTATTCTTCTGATATTACGGAACATCTTAAACACAGTTATGTACTTTTGCGCCACCTACTGGCAAATTTGATAGTATAATCTAATTTCTCTATATAGCTGAGCGTAAAAAAACAGTTTTATTTTAATCCAGTATATTGTCCTTATTTCAACAAAATTTTCATCTAAAGAATTCTTAAACAAACAGTATCAGTAATTAGTTTGGATTCTCATTCTCGTTAAATTGGGGAAATGTTAAACAAACTCTATCAATTCATTTTTTGTTTTAGTTTTTGAGATAACTGATAAAAATCATATTTACAAGATGGCGGTTGTTCAGAAAAATATGATTTATGTTTCATGTTGGGCGATTAAGTTTTGTTTTATAACTTAAGTCACAAATTCCTGATCCGTTTACAGTATTATTAAAGAATATATATATTTGGCATGTTTGAAACAGGTGTCGGTTCGTAGAACGTCATTCTTTGGCTTTTCTAGTACACACCGATGTGGTGGTGCCATCTTGAATAGCGAATGGATCGCTACAGCAGGACATTGTGTTGATGAGTGAGTATAGTCAACTAGATCCTAGTGTAAAGATTAAACCATCCTAAAGTTCTTAGTCGAGCTTTATTGACGAATTAAATCTTTAGATTCTTATGTAATTGTTCAGTTTGGCCAGTTATAAATAAGAACATGAAGAAGGTTTAGCTGTGTGTTCGTTTCAGTTGGCTTACTACTCTTTTCCATTGGTTGAAAGTATGCTTCCACTGGTTGGCTGTACGCCTTCATTGGTTGAGAGTACGCTTATTTGGCCAAGTGTAAGCTTCCATTGGTTGAAAGTATGCTTCCACTGTTTGGCTGTACGCCTTCATTGGTTGAGAGTACGCTTATTTGGCCAAGTGTAAGCTTCCATTGGTTGAAAGTATGCTTCCACTGGTTGGCTGTACGCCTTCATTGGTTGAGAGTACACTTATTTGGCCAAGTGTAAGCTTCCATTGTTTGAAAGTACACTTCAGTCGGTTGACTGAATGCTTCTATTGGTTGAGAGTACTGTTCTATGCTTTGAGCGCGTCACTTCAAGATCT